TTGCTACAAGGGATGTAGCAGTTTTCCCACTGCAGCACAGTGGCTGAGACTTCTGCTCTTAGAAACAACAATAATAATACTTTTTTTATCATTAACAAAAAATGCATGAAATAGAACAATTTTTAATTCCTATAATCAAATCAAGTAGTCACCTATTCAGAAAACAGTCACCAGTAACATTTGAGTATCATTTTTTGAAATTTTTTTCTAAGTATATATGAATTTTTCCCTTCAGTCAGATTTCTCTTTAATATATATATATACTGGGACCAGCAGTTAGAGTAATGGCTATATCGCTGGACTCCCATGTAGTCGACCACAGTTCATGTCCGGGACCCGGTGGCTTAAAACTCACGCCTGGCGCATGTGCGTGTGTGCCCAAGGTCCCGAGAGGAGAATGTAGGAGAAGGGATTGCGGCGTGACCATCCCCCCTGGGGGGTGATTTCTCGCTTTCTGTCTCTATGTCTCTCTCTGTCTGTCTGGCGAGCACACGCGCCCTATAGCAAAAACCTCTCAAAAAAAAAGTAAAAATATACACACACACACACACACATATATATATATGTATATGTGTGTATACATATGTATGTATGTATAGGTGGGGAATGTCGCTGGGTCCACAAACTACATGCAGCCTCTGATATAATTTCTCCTGGTTTTCAGAATGAGAACTTATGGGGCTGGTTTTGTGGCACAGTTAATATACTGCTTAAGAGCAGCCAGATCCCACATGGCCACTATGGTTCAAATCCCCTGTGGTCAGCCTGAAAAATGCCGAGCAGGCACGTGAGCACCCAAGATCTCAAGGGTGGTAGGGCTGGGAGGAAGGAGGCTGAGACATGACCAAGACCCTGTAGACAGTGTATCTCTCTCTCTCTCTCTCCCTCTCTCTCTCTCTCTCTCTCTCTCTCTCTCTGTTTTTCTCTTATATGCATGTGCATGCTATTATCACTAAAGGAAAAATAAAAATAAAACAAGCTTGAGAACCTCCAGGATGCCCCCTATGCCTGTGTGCGTGTGTGTGCGTGTGTGTGTGTGCGCGTGTGTGGAAGCACCCCCTCATCCTCGGGCTCTTTGGTAACAATATCGTTCTTGGCCACAAGAGGGGGCTGCTTGCTCATGAATAGCTGCTCCAAAGCCTGTAGGAAACGGCAGCCCTGGCATCTCCAAAGCAGTCACCCTTACTCTTACTTCATTGCTCAATCAACATGTTCCCTGTGCCTCTCAGAAACCTTTCTGCTACCTGAAGGGAAAGATAGCGCTCACATGCTCACCTTCAACCACATTTGACAACTCTGCATAGGTCTCCCCTTGTGTCCCAGCTGTGGGCTTCTGAAGAAGGAAAACTACCACGCTGCTCAGACCGTTCCTTTACCTTAACACGCTGCTCTCCTCGCTGGTTTCCCAGGATCAAGTTGGAACTCTCCCAAGGCCTGCTGTCCTTCAGATGCCCTGGTTCCTCCCACCTGCCTTCACCTCACTCTCTTTTCGGACAACATCAAACTTTTTTGGGCTGCTTGTCACCAATAGGCCTCACATGCTTCTTTCTGGAAGGCTTTTCCCAACATTTGATGAGATGCTACCTCTTCCAGAAGTCTCCCTCAACCCCATGACTCATGGTTACGTGATGGGCCCTGTGCTTCTCTTTCAAACACTGAAATTATCTGGATTGTCTACCTTCCCCCTAGAATGGAGGGTCCATGAGGACAAGGCCCGTGCATCTGTTGTACCCACTTTGTCCCCAGTACTTCACGTGCTCGTTGACATGTACTAGACTGGGGCCAGCCGGTGGTGCCGTGATTAAGGCACCTGGATCCCGCATGGCCAACTGCGCTGTTCGTGTCCTGGACCCAGGAACTTGTAAAACAGGCCAGACGTGTGTGCATGTGCCAAGAATTCCAAGAGGAGGGAGAAATGGAAGAGAAGGGATTGTGATTGAGGCATCCTCCCTGGGGAATGCTTTCTCACTTTGTTTCTTTCTGGAGCACACGTGCCCTCTAGCAAATTTAAAAACATATATACACTAAATAAGGGAAATACATACATATATGTGTGTGTGTGTGTGTGTGTGTGTGTGTGAATGGATGAGTGAAGTGATGAGTGAGTGTGCCTTTCCTGAGCCCTAAGATCAAGTCTGCAGAAGCCAGTCCATCTCTCCCACCATCCCCTTTCCCTCGCTGTCCACCAGGTGCCTCTCCATGTCACCCTTTCTCTGAGAGCATATCCCAAAGACGAGTGTTGCTGGCTTCTCTCCCTTGGCTGGAAGACAACAGGATTCGGAGTGAGACTGACCTCGCCTCAAGGACAGGCTCTGCCGCTCACTGGTGGTGCATGGACCTCACTGTCCACATTTACCAAGGGGAGCAGTGGCGCCGAGCTGCAGGCCTGGTGGGCCCTCGTTAGCTCAGAGTTCTTCCACACACCCTGCCCAGCGCACTCCCTGAAGCCAACCCCCAGAACCTGGGACAGACACCCCTATGTTCTCAAGGCTGCAGCTAGGCTCCTGACCCCGCTTCTGTCCAGGTCGTCTGAGCCACTTGTTGGTGAGGCCTCCTCCTCCCCCGTGCTGCACCCCAGCACAAGTAACGGCCCAGGCCTGGAGTGCAGCAGGTGCTCTGAAGGGACTTGTTAGTGGAGTGAATGAATGGAAGGACAGACACAGCAGTGTCTTCTGGGCATATTGGCCTGGTCACTAGGGATGGCACCATCGCAATGGCAAGGCAAAGAACTAAGAAAGGGACTCCCAACTTTTCCAAGGAATGGAGAGGAAGGAGGAGGGGAAAATGAAGGCTAGTCCTAGCCCTGGGCGAAGAGGAACCAGAGCCTTGTTGGTTTTGTTTTGTTTTTTAAGTTTGTTGTCTTCCATCAGAGGGACAGACACTCCTGAAAGGCTCGTCATGCCATGACCCACCTGGACACAGGTACATGCACCTGGTGTACTTAGGGAGCTCTTAGGACCTGAAGCCAGGACCTTTGACATGTGGGTCCGGCTGCACCACAGCCTAGCACCTGGACTAACCCAGACCTGCACGTGGCCCTCCTAGGATCCCAAGAGACAACCTGTGTCACCTGAACAGACTGCCCAGAGGGCATTTGCATTTCTTCCAGCCAGTCTTTCTGTCCATAGCTGGTGCTAAATGTACAAGTTCCTACAAAACCGTTTTCTGAACTCTCCTCTTCCGTTGTGTTTCTCCTTCTGTGAAGTTTTCTGTCACGTGTACTCTGAAGCCCCTCCAGAAAGCCCCCTCAGGCCTTCTCTGCAGTGCCCCATGTTCTCTGAGGCTGGAGCGCCCTCAGAGCCCCGTCATCTGTGACGCCTTCTCTCAGGCGGAACCTTCAGCTGATGAATAAGAGCTGATTTCTCCTCAAATGATCACCACCCCCGATTCATCACATTCAAAAGATCCAGCTCAGAATGGCTTCTCTGACGCTGGGTGAGGTTGTGCTTTTTCGGAATGGTATCCCATTCACTGAGGATGTGTGTTTCTGCTGCGTGATGCTCTCCTGCCTGAGCTCCGACGGGGTGCAGCTGTACCGGACTGCACCCTCCCTGTGATTTCCTCACTGGCAGAGCTGCCCTCCTCCAGCAAGGACGGTCCTCCTCAGTGCCGTTCACAGGAGTCTCTCTGAATTACGAGATGGATGGAAATTGCCCCTTATCCACAATAGTCGCCTTTCCTCTGCTGTGTGAATTCTGGTACTCTGCCAGAATCCTGCCCAAATGTTTGGCCATATGGATCATGGCTGTGGAGCTTGGGCTTGGAATCTGTAGTTTCCCCAAAATTGTATCTATCAGCATAAGGGTTTCTCTTTGTCCTGGTCTCTGATGAGAGCTGTCCTCCAAGGATGGCCCTTGGGTTCGACTTTGGCAGGAAGGCTGGTGTCGGTGTTGACGGCGTGTCCTTGGCTAGGCCTCCGTCTATAATGACACTGCAGGAAATGAGAGTGTCATGAGTCCCCATTTCCAAGAAACAAATCCCTGTGCTTATACATCAAGACTTTGGCCTCTGGCTATTTATTCTTATGACTGTAGCAGTGAGAGGAAGTTCACGTTGAACCCTTCAATTCACAAGGGGATGAAGAGCAACTTCTATTTTGAACACCCATGGACTCATGTTCCAGGAGCCCCAGGGATGCAGCTTTCAGCACCACAAATTCTGCCCGTTCTTTAGCCTGCCCACTGTGGTTTTTGGTGTCTCTCTCCAAAATTCATGTGTTGAGATTTGGCTGTAATAGGATTAAGAAGGTGAGAACTTGGGGCCAGCAGATGGCATAATGGTTACATTGCTGAACTTCACATGGCTGACCACGATTCAAGTTCTGGTGCCTTTAAAATCACGCTGGGTGCATGTACATGCATACCCCAAATCCTGAGAGGAGAGTGAAGAGAGGACTGCAGTGCAGCCATCCCTCCTGAGGGGGTTGATTTCTCGCTTTCTGTCTCTCTCCGTCTCTCCAGTAAGCACACATGCCTCTATAACAGAAATCTCTCAAAATCAAACAAACAAAAAGGTGAAAACTTAATCCAACCAAGGTTTGGAAAGGTGGGGCCTTTGGGAGAGTAGGATCAGGGTCATCAAGGCAGGGGACCCCCATGATTGAAGCTTGGTGGCTTTATAAGGAGAGAAAATGACACAGACATACCTGTACTCTAGCACTGTCTTATCATGTAGTGCCTTGCATTGCCCTGGGACCCTGCAGGGAGCCTGCACCAGCAAAAAGATTCTCACCAGATAGGGCCCTTGGACCTTACCTCCAAAACCATGAGCTAAATAAACCTCTACCCTTTCTCCAGTAAGGAATTTCTATTATCAGCAACATATGGACAAAAAGACCTGCCCAAATCTCACCTCTTCCCTGTAGATTTCCTGGGACACTGTGAGCCTGCCCTTCTGAGAAGCCCTGTAATGAAACACTTTAACGCACATGTCTTGCTCTAGACCTTCATCATCTTTTATGCCATTTTCTTCTCTAACAGACCTGTTTGAAGAACTACGTCTCGTCTTGTGGATCCTCCAGGCACCTTTGGACACTGAGAGTCCCAGAGACACTGGACTGGCGACTGTGTGTGGCTGTGGGTACTGCTGTCTACGCAGAGGAGTTTGTGTGCAGGGGGTTGACCTTCAGTGAAGATGTAGCCTGCTTTCTCTGGGATGGCGGTTGGTTGTTTTCTTCAAGGTCACCCAGGGAGGAAGGTGATCTCGCCCTTATTGCTGTCCCTTCTTCCTCAAGCCCCACCACCAAGCAGGCCTACAGAGTTAGCCCCAATAACCTATGGGGCTTATCTGACCAGGTGACAGATGCCGTGTCTCTAGGCCCTTGGAATGACCTTGGAGGGAGAAGAGGCAAGCAACCATGAAGGAATCAGTATTGTTGTTGAGTTGTCCATTCACGGTATCGTGATTAAGTATGACTGGCTCAGGGGCCACCCTGTACCTGAACTTGGCGCTTTCTGAGGGCAAGGCTTGTGTCTTGGACTGTCTGTTTACACAGTGCTGATGTAGCATCTAGCATATACTAGGCATTCATTCCGTCTCTACTGAGTGAATAATCACTCCATACCTACCAGAAAATCAAGGAGTACTTGAAGGTGATGAGGATAGATGTTAATGACTATTAAAATGCCCTCCCACACACTGTCACTCCTGCCCCCAGCAAGTACGTCATCCCTCTGTATGTGGCTAAGTTCTGGGTCTCCTACATAAAGTCCAAAAGAGGCCACATGCCTTTTACTGGTTGCAAAATCTCTGCCTCCCCTGAGAAACCGAACAAATTTTGAGTACCAGTTGAGGGTTCTGCATAGCCTTGGAGTTGTAACTGTCTTGAAAAGCTAGTAAGATAAAACTGTTCTTGGTGGGAATAGTAAGAACCAGTCCTTTGTGTTAGTGTTGCCCATGGAACTGCCTTTCCTAGAAACCTTGGTCTTCTTCCCAGCTGAACTTTTGACTTGGTGAACATGTCACTAGGCCATCAAGAGTTAGGAGAGAAGGAAAAGGAGAGCCTGGCTAGTTGCCTTTTCATCTGCTTACCAGAAGCTCATGCCCCACCCAGTTGTCTCAGGGACATGGGAGACAGCCAGTTACTGGCTTTATGTACTCCTGTCCTGAACTAGTCTAGGTGGAATGTCACTTAAAATGATTCTCCGGCTTATCCTCTCAAATTGCTCCTCTAATGACTATCCCAAGGCTGAAATGAATGAGAACTTACAAAAACAGGTAGAAATGTTCTACTGAATGAATACTCAGCTGACAGCTGTTGGGGTGGCAGGTGACCTACGCTATCCTAGGGAGTTGGCAAAGGCCATTCCAAAGACAGCAATAAGCTTCTAGAAAATGTTCAAGAAACTGGGTCTAGATGGAAAGCTTTAGACACCTCCCTCTTGATTCCCAACTCCCACCATGGAGGTCACCAGCAGAGTTCCTCTTCCAAGAAGCCAAGCCAGCCTCTTGGTGTTCATCCACTGGTTCTCCTTGCTGGCCTCTGCCCCTCACTCACCGAGTATATACAAGATTCTGACAAAAATGGTAGCTAGCATGTACTTAGTGCTCACTGTGCCAAATGCTTCACAGGCCATAGCCTCATCTAATCCTCCCAACAACCCTTTGAACTGGTTTATTTCTTTCCTCATCTTACAAATGGAAACAGTAAAACTTAGGTTAAGTAACTTGTCCAAGGTCATGCAACTAAGAAGTAGAGGAGCAAGGATTCAAATCCAGGTCTGCCTGTTACACTTTTTAAAGTTCTAGTTTTTCCATTGCAGGATTTTTAATTCCATTTGCTGAAATAACTGGCCCATTTTCTGGCTGTGTCGCATAGCCATCTTGAAATAGTTCTGCTTCCACAGTCCCTTCTTGAGCCTATTAAAGCCTCCAGAAAGGTTTCTAAGAGACCAAGTCTAGTAGGTAATGAACACTACCAGTCCCTATTAAAGCCATATTCGTGGGAGATACCAAGCTTCCTCCTAACAGCCACTGGAATTTCTACTGTGGGAACTTGGAGAGATTCTTGAGTCTGCTCCACAAGTTAAGCATTATGATTTATTTACTTCACTGCATCTAGGGCCTCAAGTGGGATGGCCAGAATGGCTGGAGATAGCCAAGATGGTCTGACTGGGGTTTTTTGTTTGAAAACTTGGTTCTTTCTACCAGCTGGACTCCTCACTCCTCTCTTTGTGGTGTCCTCTGGGACTGAAATGCCCAAAATGGATTGTTTACTCTTGTTTCTGTTGTTTTCATGTTCTTTCACCTGACCACCCTCTCCAATAGAGTAGCCATATCTTCTTAGGCTGCTGTCAGGACTCTCAGAACTCCTCTCCCTGCTCTTTGTCACTGCACTGGACCTGCCCTACTCCATGTTCCCTTCTGTGAGGACAACCTTGTTTAGCCCCTGCTGCCCAGGTGGCTGTGTTATGCTGCATGACCTTGCCTCCGAGGCCCTGCTCCCGCTACCACACACATATAGTTCACTGGACCAGGATCCAATACTGGCTGGCAGTGACGTTCGAAGTCACTTGGCTCAAAAGCCAGCCAAACCAATCAGATCTCTCCTTTTGGAAATTCAAATGCAAATCAGACACTATAGTGTGCAACAAGGTGTCATGAGGGCAAGTAAGGCCTGGATGAACCAATGTGCTGGCCAAATTTCCATTGAACAAAACACTTGGAGATTAAAGGAAAACAAAAATAAGCTGTGACATGGGTGGGAGGGAGGTGAAATCCACGCACTGTGGGAAGGAAATGCACACCTGGTTTTGGCAAAAGGGTGAAGGAGGGAGTGACCAGAGAAGAGCTGGAACTCCATGACAGGCAGAGAGGAGTCCAGTCCAGAGCTGCTCTGCTGTCCATGACTCAACAGACCTGGCCTTGCCCATGCATGTCTTTGCAGCAAGCACATTACTGTTCCCTTTGGTAATTGGTTGGCTTAGAAGTGGTCAGTATGATTTACTTCTGTCAGTAAAATTTACAGCGAACTGGTTGGAACTGTCTTGAATCCATTAAGAAACAAGACTGAGGGAAAAGGGCAACATGCTGAGGATGGCAGAGCAGACACAGAAAGAACCTGGATCCTTGGTGATATCTTTGAGCCACCATACCTATCCAAGTGAAACCAGAAATGCAGAAGATGGCCATCACTGCTAATTCAATTGGAGGGTTAATGTAGTGGGACACAAGGATTTAGTATGCTAATCGAAGGGTGAAGAGTTAGGATAGGAGGACAGAGAATAGTCTATTGAGGATCGGAAAAGCTTTCATCTGGTCCAATTTTCATCATGCAATTTTTTTTTTCCTGCACAAGAAAACGAGTCTGATTCTTCTCTTAGGAAGTATGTTGAACTCAAGAGCTCCAGCTCTTCCTCCTTGAAACTGTTTTTAAAATGTAAAACAAAAGAAATTGGCATTCTCCTAATGTATCTTACAAATGACTTCATTATATTTTGGCCTTGAAAAAAGGCAGCCATCCCATTTCCCATCCCAGAATAGTCTTCAGCAGTGCAGAGATGTTGCCTGTAGAAGTTCATCAGATTTATGGGGCCCAACCACAGATGTGTTGCAAAGACATTAGAGTTTGCAACCACCAGATTCTGCCACTAAGCCTCACCCCTCTCAGTGCAGTCCCGTGCACCCTCCTGTGGTCCAAAAGCCAAAACCAGTGCAGCTCTGATGTTTGCCTATTTTATTTATTTATTTAACAGAAATATATCAAATACCTAGAAGAATGAACTTAAGCCTATAAAAAGAATAAGAAAGATAAGTCATTAGAGTCACATACACACGAAAATCTTAGATAATCAGAGAAAGGAATAAAGCTTCTGTCAGGGCTAAAAAGGCATAAAAGTTTAATCCCTACCTTGAAGGGATTAATGCATTAATAGGGTACTTAATAAACCCTGAATTCCCCCCACCCCCGAAAGTTTCCCTATATATCGCTAAGGATTCTCTGAAATCCATAAGGAGAAGAACCAAAGGCTTTTCCCTATTCGTCACCATCCAGGTTTTTCTCCAGTATGAATTAGCCTGATTACTGACTAAACACCCTCCCACCATCTTCACAATGAAAGTGTTCCTTTCCTGTGAATTCTCCAATGATGAGAAGGAGCTAAGCTATCCCCAAATGAGTTTGCACATTGATTATAATCATAGTCCTCTCTCCAAGATGAATGAGCTGATGTTCAGTACACTCCACGCTTCCCCTAGATAGTTTTCCATATTCGTACATATGACCAGTTTAAGTTCCAAATGAATTAGCTGATATTGTCTAAGGATGGAACACTGATTGAAGGTTCTTCCTCATCCATTATACTCACAGGGCCCCTCTGCTACGAAACCCCAGATGTCTAATTAGCTCTAAGCACGATCTAAAAACGTTTCTACATCCATTACGTGCATATGGTTTTTCTCCAGTGTGAATTCTCTGACGTTGAATGAGCTTGACTTTCCCGAAAGCCCTCATACGTTTATCGCATTTGTAGAGTTTCTGTGGCATGTGAATTAGCTGAAGCTGTGTTGGAATTCTGACAGATGCTTCCCACATCCCCAGGGATTCTCTCCAAGATGAATATTGTATGTTGATAGGATGGGAGCCCCAAAGAAAATTGCCCATATTCACAACAGTCAAAGATGTTCTCGCCATCTGAATACTGTAATATTGAATAAATTCTGAATTCCGTTCCAAGACTTGGCCACATGTATCTTCTTTGGGGTTTTTCTCACTTCTAAAAAAATGGAAATGGAATTGCAAAGTTTTCCTATATTTATCACACTCACAGACAGGGTCCCTGAGACGGTTCTCCAGGATGGCTCCGTATTCACAGACGACCTCTGCCTAGGACCTGGTTGGCACCCCATGGGGATAGTCTCATTAAAAGGGAGTCTTCAAAACGTTCATGGGAAATCTGTATTATGAAAAAACTATCCACGGATTTCCAATTCTTCTCTGCATCAAAATTTGTACTTTAATTCCATTTTCCACAAACTTTTTGAAGTCCCCACATACATCCACTTATGATTGATTCTACCACTGCAGAAAGTACAATTTCTGCTTTGAGGTCAGTTCATTGTTTTTTGTTCCCAGTCTCACAACACGAAATTATAGAAAACATAAGTATCAATCGTTCCCTCTTAAAAGACAAAAACAGGGGCCAGCAGGTGGCATGGTGGTTGAGGTGCTGGATTCCCACATGGAGGACCATGGTTTGAGTCCTGGACCCGGTGGCTTGCTTTCTCACTTTCTCTTTTTCTATGTGTGTGTCTCTCTCTGGTCAAATTAAAATAAATTGATGAATAAATAAAATCAAATACTAAACAATTATTTTTTTAAAAAAGCCAATAACATTTCTTGGACTGAGAATGAAAGATTTTGGAAGAAAGTATAAGAATAAGAATGGATGGGGCCCAGCAGTTAGTGTAATGGCTATGTCACTGGACTCCCTCATAGTTGACCATGGTTCGAGTCCAGGACCCGGTGGCTTAAACTCACACCGGGCGCGTGTGCGTGCATGCCCAAGATCCCGAGAGGAGAATGGAGGAGAAGGGATTGCGGCGTGGCCATCCCCCGTGGGGGGTGATTTCTCGCTTTCTGTCTCTCTGTCTCTGTCTGTCTGGCAAGTGCACGCGCCCTATAGTAAAAAAAAAAAAAAAAAAAAAAAAGGATGCCTTGGGGCCAGCAGGTGGCGTAATGCTTAGAGCACTGGACTCCCATATGGCCAATGGTGGTTCAAGTCCTGGACCTGGCAGCTTGTTTTCTCACTTTCTCTTTCCTCTCTCTATAGTCAAATTGAACAAGTAATAATAATGGTAAATTACATTTTAAAAATAAGTGAATAAAAGTATAAATAAAAGAAAAAAAGAATGAATGCCTTGGGCAAATATATATAGTAGTGGTTGTGACAGACTGCTGATTACTTAAATTCCCTTTTCTTTCTTAGAAAGAACCCAATTTGAATCACAATGAAAAAGGTACTCACTAAAAATACCTTCTCAGGGGCCAGCAGGTAGCGTGATGATTAAATCGCTGGATTCCTACATGGCTGACCACGGTTCAAGTACTGGACCCAGTGGCTTAAAATCATGCTGGGCACATGTGCATGCGTTCAGAGGAGAAGAGACTGTGGCATGGCCATCTCCAACCCTCCCCCCCACCCCAGTGTCCCAAATTCTGAAAGAATAGAGAAATAGAGCCGGGATTGCTGGGGAACCACGCCCCATGGGGAGTGCTTTCACCCTCTCCCTCTCTGTCGCTCTCTCTCTGGCAAGCACTTTCACCCTCTGGCAGCTAAAAAAAAAATACCATCTGTGTGGAGAGAGCATGTGGGGAGTTGCAAGGAGGTGTTAACACTGTTTCTTGATCCGGATGCTAGTCAGATGGGCATTTTCACTTTGCCAAAATCCATTAAGCTCCATATTTATGATTTGTGCACTTTATGCGATGAAGAGTTTAAAAACAAAACTCACTTCCTCATACTCCCATGCAGACACAGGCCCCGTTCTGGGAAATGAGATGTGAGGCTACCTCAAAAAGTTCATGGAAAAATGAAATGAAAGTACCAGTTTATTTGGTATAAAAAATGTCTATTTCTTTCATGAACACGATAGACACAGAGAAAGAGACGGTACCCCCAACCAGGTCCTAACTCCACGTCCACCCCCAGCCTTCATTCAGCCCCAGATCATGGGCAAGCGCAAGCCCAAGCACACTCAGGAAGGTCTCCGGGCATGAACTGGTAACCCTTCCCATGTGACTCCCTTACCATGTGTCACATTTTACCACTGTGCCATTGTCTGGCCCCTTTGGTGCAAAAGAATTTGAAATCCATGCATAGTTTTTTTCATAATTTGCATCTTCAATGACCTTTTTGAAGACCCCCTGCATAAACAGAAAACTTGTTAAAGGGAGCAGCCTCTGGGCCATGAACCCTTAGTCTTTTCCCCATCTACACCCGTCTCCTTTCCTGGTCCTGGCGGCGATGCTGCCAATGCAGCAGTCATTCTGTGGCCTGGTGGAGGAGGGCCACTTGCAGAAGACCACACAGAACTTAAGGACGGTGCCTGAACCCTCATGGCTTTGGACTACTACTCTCTTTCCCCCAACTGGCCTTGTTTTTAGTCTAGTGGGGAAAATTTACAATTCCTTATCCATAAGGTTAGATATCATTTCCCCAGGCTTATTATGTCCTGTTTTATTTTCTGTTGGTCTCCCTTTCTTGATTTGCAGAGATTTCTGTATTGTTGAAGATATTAGTCCTTCGTGTGTCAAAACTGATGTAGAAATCTTTCCAGATTTGAAGTTGGGCGTGAGTGTGTCCTTAAACTGAATAGAGGTTGCTATATCTTTGTCTTACAGCTTCTGAGTTTTGTATAGTGTTTATATTTATCCCAATCTAGAATTGTTAAAGTGGTGAACTTTTTTTCCCCTGTTTATATCTTGGAGCCAAAGTGGAATTTAAGGTGATGTAAAATGATTAGGTAAATCTTTCCAGATTTGAAGTTGGGCGTGAGTGTGTCCTTAAACTGAATAGAGGTTGCTATATCTTTGTCTTACAGCTTCTGAGTTTTGTATAGTGTTTATATTTATCCCAATCTAGAATTGTTAAAGTGGTGAACTTTTTTTCCCCTGTTTATATCTTGGAGCCAAAGTGGAATTTAAGGTGATGTAAAATGATTAGGTAAAGAGGGGACCAGCAGATGGCATAATGGTTATGTCGCTGGACTCCCATGTAGTCGACTTCGGTTCAAGTCCTGGACACAGCAGCTTAAAATTCATGCTGGTTGTGCGTGCCCAAAATCATGAGAGGACAATGAAGAAGGGATTGTGGCACGGCCATCCTGCCTGGGGAGTGATTTCTCTCCCTCCGTCTCTCTTGCAAGTGCACATGCCCTATAGCAAAGATCTCTTTAAAAATAAAAAAGTTAGATAAAGAGAAGGAAAAGAACTATTCAGGGATCTTGGGACTGGAGGAATCACACAGCATTGAGTTTCCTGGGTTTTCCTTTTGCTTTCTATGTATGCTAGGCTGGACTTGGGAAAAGCCTGCA